AGACCTGATTTCAACAAAGAAAGATGACAACAATGGACAACAGCAACAACAATAAACAATTATAAAAAGTCATACTGCAGGTTTTTTTTTTTTTTTTTAACAAATAGGATGGCTAAAAGGAAAAGGTAACAAAACAAAAAAAACAGCTAGATTCCAAGACAAATGTAGAAAACTAAAAACAGGAACATGTCTGCATTGGACCCTGCCAGGTGTCCAACAGATTCTTAAAGCCACTTATAGAGGTCAATGTCGAGAGCTTCAAATCTTTTTGTAAGATATTCCAGGAACCAGGAGCGGAATAGGAGAAAGCCCTTTTGCCAAGTTCAGTCCTCATTGAGGGAACACTGCAGGTAATAATGTCATGAGAGCGCACGCTGTAGCTGCACTCATGCAGAGACAAGTAGGAGGAGATGTATGAAGGCAACAGACCAAGAAGTGATTTAAAGATGAAAATATACCAGTGAGAGAGTCTGCGTGAAGTTAATGATGTCCAGTTAACCAGTGAATACAGGGTGCTGTGGTGGGTACGATAATCACAGCCAGTTATGAATCTTAGTGCACCATGATAGACAGCATCCAACATCTGCAGGGTTCTTGTAGGAGCGTTCATGTAAATAATATCACCATAATCAATTGAGGGAAGGAAAGTCACAGATACAAGGCGTTTTCTAGCATTCAGGGTTAGACAGGATCTGTTTCTGAAAAAGAAACAGATAAACGGAGACACCTGACAGACGATCCTGTGTAAACGGAGAGTGCTGTGTAAGGAGACTGCAGCAGGATTCAAAGAAACCCACAGAAATCTGTGAACTCGGCTGAGGTGAGAGGGATACAACAGCGAGCAGACCTGTGACTGGCCTTCACTGTCTTTACGTTTTACTGTATGTACTGTATATTTATAAATGGACTGTACTTATACAGCACCTTTCTATCTTATCAAGGCACTCAAAGTGCTTTACAATCTGTGCCCTCATTTACCCATTCATTTCTACAAAGCTAAATGAACAAATCATTCTAAAGAGACTAATCAGTGCTTTATCACATTCATACATAGATGGGACACACATCGGAGGCAATGAGAGGTTCAGTGTCTTGCCCAGGGACACTTGGGCATGTGACTGCTGGTGGATTCGAACCCCCCAACTCTTCATCAAGATGCGGTCCTTATTACCATCAAGCTGCTGACTGGACCTGCTAACAAGACCTGCTAAGCTGCTAACAAGACCATGCCGCTAATAGAACAGAACCATGATGTTGAAGGAACCTCACTGCTAACCAAATCACACTGTAGATGTATTTCTTTTCCCATCTTTGGCGCCTTGTTTTTTAGTATTTTAGTAGTATTTTTTATATGATTTTTAGTATGTTGGTTGTATTTTTTAGTATGTGTTTAGAATTTTTGTTACATGCTTTGATATTTCTTGGGGGTTTTTTTTTTGTTTTTTTTTTTTGCAAGTTGAGACGGTTCTTCTCATCCTAAGCATTTCATTGCATTGTTGACCTTGTGTTGATTTTGCTTATGATAAATAAACCTAACCTGAACCTCTTGCACTGGAGGACGACTGCTCTAATCACGCAGCCACAGCCCCCTGTAACCTGCCCTCCATCCATCCATCCATCCATCCATCCATCCATCCATCCATCCATCCATCCATCCATCCATTCATTCATCCATCCATCCATCACCTTTACCCACTTCTTCCTTTCCAAATCGCGGGGGTCACTGGTGCTCATATCCAGCAGTCACTGTGGGAGAGGCGGGGGGGGGGGGGGGGGGGGCACCCTGGGCAGATCGCAATTCCATCACAGGGACCGTCCTGAAATCAGACCTTGCAAATATAAAATACTGGTTAAAGATCTTCTTCTGCCATTGAGTGTGGTTCTTTTGAGTAAACAGCATTCTGTGTTGTGAACAACTCTCAGATACTGCCACAGCTTTGGCTTATCTCGATTAATTGCGATGGACATTATGACCCAGACTCCAAAAGGTAATTACTTGTAGATGTACATCTAACGATTACCGGTACTTTTTTTCACAAATGTGTCCAGTTGTTCATGTGTTGTTGTTTTTTTGTTTTTTTTGTGCTAACAGACAAACAGGGTTGAATCCAACTGGTAATATTAAAGTTTTAGGCAAATATCTGGTGTACTGAGTAGCACAGTAGTATGTGTTGTGAATGACAGTCAGCTACTACCACTCCCAGCTGGATTAGAAAATCTATAAAACTGACTGATTTATAGCCAATGATATGTTTTTTAGGTCTGTTGACAGAGCGAATAATAGAAAATGATAGCAAAACAGTAACAATACAGACAAATGAACTCATGAGAGGTGACGCTCAGTGAGACATGACATTTGAAATCTGTACATCTGTTGTGGACAGGTTTTATTTTATGTCTTCTTTTGTCTTCCACTTGGGCCATTTCCTTATTTTTAACTACGTACTGCACAATATGCTGTCATGTTCAGGTACAACAAGTGAAAAAAGCCAAAGAAAAGTTAAAAGATCTTCATAAAGCCTGGAGGACTACTGAAAAAGAAAGTCTGCTTCTGTCTCTCAAGAACTTGTCTCACCACAGCTATCAAGATTGTCAATTTCGATAAAACGTTCTGCTGCATGTGCATTAGTAAACCTGCCTATATCTGCATGTTAATTTACTGATCATCAATAGTTGTCAGGACAGATTCTGTTTCTCTTTACATCAGATGTCAAGTGATGAGAGTACTAAACACAAAATGTGGATTAAGCAATATGCTAATCCACTAAGTGATGCACACCTGACAGACAAAGACCAAAGATCGAAACTCATTTACTAAAGGTAATGAAAAACACGGGAGTAATTGGGTTTATCTGTTTGGGTAAACATACGTGTAGTCTGTACACGTGGGGCAGCGTGAAGAACGGTCCAGTGTTTTCATTAACGGTGATTTATGATTATTCAAACAGGTTTTGCATCCATTGAGCCACTTTAAATTCAGTCATGACATAAAAGGTTCAAGTATCATCTTAATGATGAAGATGATGCTTAAGGTCAACCACATTGAAGACACCCCCCCCACTCCCCCAGAGAAGATTGTTTTCTTTAATTTGTTTCTGTAGCAGCAGCTCATCTGAGCAGAAATTACACCTGGCGACAGGAGATCGATACGTCGAGGAACAGAAAGGAGTGACCAGGTGAAGACTGTTTCACGCACATTTCATTTTGTTGGAAAAAAGGTTGGTTGTGTTAATGCTGACCTTTGTTTTCCTGTCTCCTTTAAATTGTTTCTTACCCTTTTAACAGCCTAATTAATCTGCATGCTGCTGTTTCTGCCATTGAGATTGTTCAGCTTGTTGAGAAGCTCAGCGCTGTGACTTTTGGTTTTTGTAACTTTTGTTGCTTTTGAATTATTTATCTTTAGTTACAGTTATTTTCCTTATTAAGACATTGAGATCTCCACCTGTTTTAAAAACATTTTTTTGTAAAAATAACAATCTTCTTATTCTACTTTTAGCGTTTAGCTATTTTGCTCCATTCAGTGAAATGAGCAAACCTTTTGCTACATTGGACTTAAGTTAGTATTTAGCTTCTTTTAGCTAGCCTTTAGCTATGTTAGCTCACTTTTGCTACTTTTAACTAACAGTTCAGCTACTAGTTTTAGCTAGCCTTTTACAATATTTAGCCTAGCTAAAATTGAGCAAATTTTAGCTTTTAACCATCTTTTTCTTCTTTAGCTAGACCTCTGCTACATTTAGCTTTTAAGTAGCCCGTTGTTGTGTTTTTGATCCTTTAAGCTTTTAGCTAGCATTCGTTTACTTTAAACTTTTATCTAGCCTTTTGTTAAATTTGCAAGTAATTAGCTTTAATCTAGCCTTCTTTTCATTTAACTTTTAACTAGCTTACCATTTTACTTTTTATTAACCTTCTGTGATTTTTAGCTTTTAGCTAGCCTGTTGTGCTTTTTCATTTAGCTTTTAACTAGTTTATTCAGTTACTTTTGTCTTTTAGCTATATCCTTGTGCTACATTTAACATAGCTTTTATCTGTATTTTGCTTTTTATTGCTCTTTTTTGCTTTAGCCAACCTTTTGCTTATTTTAGTTTTTAGCTTGTATTGCTGTTTTGTCATTAACTTGTGTTTCATGACCTTTAACATTTTGCTATTTGCTCTTTTGTTTAACTTGTATTTTGCTGCATTTTGCTACTTTTGGCTTGCAGTTTCATTTCTTTTAGCTCTAACAGCTCAGTTTAAGCTTTTTCAGTTGTTCATCCCTTAAAAATAAATGAAATGAACCCCACATTCTCCCGTTTTACTCAGAATTGAGGGTAATTGAGTGCTTTTAGACTGAACAGATATCTGAACCTAAAACCTTAACTACCGGTAAATAAAGAGGTGATTCAAATTTGCTGCCACAGAGAAGAAACAACTGACATTTATTTCACGTTCACAGGCGTGACCCCGCAGCATGCTGAGACAAACTGAAACCACCAGTGCTTTTCACAGTGATCGAAGACAGAGGTGCAACAATTATAATTTTATACAAGTATTTTTAATTACTCGTTCTCAAAAGTGCTTTTATTTTTGGTCATGCCAACTCAGACCCACATTCCGATTTTTAGACATCGTTGTCATTCTAGACTCAAGCATCGAGCAAACCCTCAGTCTGAACTTGCAGTGAGCAGACAAATCAATAAAGGACATTACTTTGAAAAACATTAACATTATGGCCTCTTACATGCATCATTGCAGTTTTCTCAAGCAGAAAATGGGCTTTCAAACCTCAGAGCAGGGTTCACACAGTTCCCTTTAGATTTCCTGGTTTTAGTGACATTGTATTTTTTACAAGTCAACAAAAAAAGGGAAAGAGAAAAAACGTCATGACCAACATATTTCTCTGTCAAACTGGAGGAGGGAGGCGGAGCGGGAAGGCAAGGTAAAAGATGGGATGCTCTGCCCTTTGAGCCAAGAAGTGACTTCCTGCCATAAAAAGAGTGATGCTTGGTGAGATGGCAGGAATCTCATTTGGTTGGCCCATTTTCGCAAGCGTCATTATCGTATGCCTCAATGTCCTGGAGGCTGGAGGCGTCTGTGTCGTCCCCTCCACTGCTCTCGCTGTTCCTGAAAGCAATACTTCCTATAAAGGGATACACGCTTCCTGTGAACAACTCTTTAATGTTGTAATAAGGGAGTTCTGGGTCTTGCCTCACAGGTTTGGTGATTCCCCGACCCTCCATGGCTTTGTTTCTCTGATAGTACTTTGAAAACTTATTAAAGATCACTGTGATGGGCAGAGCCACTACTAATAGGCCGCAGATGATACATAAGGTGGCTACTAACTTTCCTGCAAGCGTCACTGGACATGTGTCTCCATAACCAACTGTGGTCATGGTGATCAAGGCCCACCACCAACCTGAAGGGATGGTCCCCAGATCGGTGTACTTTTCCTCTTTCTCAGCAAAGTAGATCAGTGCAGAAAAGACAGAGATTCCCACTGAGAGGAAGAGAATGAGCAGACCCACCTCTTGGTAGCTGTGACGAACGGTGGCGCCCAGAGCTCGCAGTCCGATGGAGTGGCGTGCCAGCTTGAGGATTCTGAGAACCCTCATAAGGCGGAGCACCTGCACCACCCTCCCCACATTCTCCAAGTTCTCATTCTCCTCCATGCCCTCCTCATCTGCTGTCTCTAAAGCTAATGTGGCGTAAAATGGCAGGATGGAAGCAACGTCGATGATGTTCAAGGGGTTTCCAAGGAACTTCCTCCTGGAGGGCGCGACAATCAACCTGATGATGAACTCAGCAGAGAAGCAGGCGATGCATATCTCCTCTAGGATGGTGAGGACAGGGTCTTCGATGGGTTTCTCATTATCGTCCACACGCTGGAACTCTGGCATGCTATGGATGCACATGGCAACAATGGAGGTCAGCACCACGCTGAGGGAAGCCACCGCAATGATCTTTGAGGCTCTGGAGTGGCCCGGATCCTCCAGTCTGAGCCAAATGTAGCTCCTCACTTCTGAACACCATGCACCTTTGAACTTTGCAAGGTCTTTATCAAGAGCCGAAAGCTCCTCAAAGGAGGAGTCGAAGCTCGGCTCATGGTTGTCATCACTCATTGTGTCCCAGTCCCGATCCTCGATGTACTCCTTCCTCTCGTGGTACCAGTTGTAGCAGCAGGAGCTAAGATGCACCTCGTGGATGCCCCAGTACTCGATCTCCTGGCTGAAAGAAAAGATGCAGAGCTCCTCCATCATGTGGATGCGCCCTGTGTGGTAGAAGTTGAGCACACAGAGGAAGACCCGGGGATTTCTGTCGAAGTAGTACTCCTTCTCAGCTGGGTTGTAGTCATCGCACAGCTCCAGGATCGCCGCCTCGCTCTGGCAGAGCAGCAAGCGAGCCAGGCGGGTCTGGGGGAAACGAAGCAGCTTGTTTGGATCCACTTTGTATTGCACTCCTCCCACATTGAGGTTGACCTGGTCCTCCTCTTTCCCACGTTGGTGGAGGATTTGGCCATATCCCATGGTCCTGATGCAGAAACACCATTAAACCAGTTATATTTTTGTACAAGTGTCAGCAAGCCAGTTCCAGTCAGGCTTCTAAATGGTACATACATGAATATTTATATGTAACCCCAATTCCAAAAGAACTGATATGTTGTATAGAATTTAAACTAAAGCCGAATGCAGTGATTTACAATTCATTTTATATTCACAATGGAACATAGTAAACATCAAATGATAAGACAATTTTCTTTTCTCTATTTTTGAAAAAAAAAAAAAGTTTCAAATGTTATGGCAGCAGCATAGTTGCCATCTGCTTTATGCCAACAACAACAATAACACCAAAGTTGGAACAGTGCCAACAAAAGGGTGTACAAGTAACTTGTACTAGAACGTAACAGCTGTAGGAGCATTTTGTCACGATTTAGGTTAACTGGAAACAGGTCAACAGAAGGACTGGTTACAAAAAGAGCCTTTTGGTGAAGTTGAACCTCTCAGAAGCTAAGATGAGCAGAGGTTCTACCAGTCTGCCCAAAAATAGATAAAACAATTTCAATAATCTGGAGAAATCTCGGAGCTCAAAGGGCAAGGTTGAAAATCAATTTAGGATGCTTGTAATTTTTGGACCCTCGGGCAGCATTAAAAACAGGTCTGATTTTGTTCTTGACATCATTGCATGGGAACATTTCTCTAAATCGTTGACTGTAAACATTTCGTTGTGCCACTCACAAATGCTGGTTAAAGCTCTCTCATGCAAAGAAACAGCCACGTGTGAAAACACCATCCAGAAAGACAAAATGGACAAAACATTGTGGTCAAAATAAATTAAAAACATCCAAATTTCACATTATTTCCATGAAACCCATGAACACTACATAGTGTAAAGGAACCTTTGAACTGTTTATCAGCACACAGCTCAAAAGCTAGCCTCTCTAATGGTATGGGGGTGCAATGGTACCTCTGGCATGGGCAGCTTACACATTTCGAAAAGCTCCATACAGGCTTTAAAACAACACAAGCTCTCATCCTCCCAAAACTCCAGCAAAGAGGAGAAAGAACTACCAAACAGTAGGACTTCAGAGAACATTTCCCTGAAAAACCTCCAGCACTTGGTCTCCTCAGATGTTTACAGACTATTGTTAAAAGATCACATAACACTGTCCCAACTTTTTTTGAAGATATGTTGCTGGCATCTGATTCAAAACGACCTTTTCTTTTCTAAAACTTGTACAAATTCTCAGTTTTGACATTTGATACACTTACTATGTTCTCTTGTGAGATCTATAAGAACTCGCAAATCATTGCGTTCAGTTTTAATTTACAATAACCACAACGTCCCAACTTTTATGGTATTGTGGCTGTAGACAATTTTAATTGCAGTGCTTGTAGAACATGAAGTGTTGTCTTTACAGACAAAAATCAATCCAGCTCACAGCAAATGGCTCAAGATGGAGTGAGAGGAGACATTCAGAGGTTTAAATACAGAAATACCACCAGGGGATTCAAAGAAACTTCAAACTCAGAAGAGACAACAAGGTAGAATTACACACATATCATGTCGTGCTAGTTTCCACAGATTTGCCTATATAATTTTATTTTAATTAGAAGAATTCAACATACCTGCACTTGGACCCTTCCTTTCCATGGAAATAACTTTACTCGGCTGGTCTCGTGTTCATATTCCTCTGAAATGCTGCAGACAGCGCAGGGCTGGGAGCGTCACTGTGAGGGGCAGCAGGAGGAGAGCACCATGAGGAGAGCAGGGAGGGAGGTGCGCCTCATGCAGCAGCTTCACAGATGGGACAGGAGGAGATGGAGGCAGGACGGAGGCAGTTCGCTCCCTTTTACAGGGAACAGGGAGGGGCAAGAGGAGAGGAGAGGGCTGCAAAAATGTAGAGATGTCCCGGGAGAAATGACTCCACGGTCTTTGTGGTTGTTTTATTACCAATCTGCTCATAATTTTCCCAAATATGGACTGATCCTTATTATCTCAGGAACACATCACTCCAATGTAAAAACTGCATAAAATGAAGACTGAAAGAGTCGAGAGTGTAACACTTATTAACAACAGCCAGTTGAGTTAAGATAACCATCAGCTCCTGTAGTGAACCATCTCAACACAGCAGCCAAACCTCAGTGGTGATCTCCTCCAGGCCACACCACACACTCCTTAAACACACACCTTCACAGGTGCACACAGTAAAGATACAGAGGGGCTTTACATTCTAATGGTTTTTTTTTAAGTGGCTTGGTTTACATTTGAGTGGTTTAGCTGCGACAAAAGGCAGCTGACCTCAGTCTACAGTGGAAAAAGCAAAATAGTAACATCAGACTTTGGCATTTTAATCCTCCCAGAGAGAAAGAGCTCAGCCGGCAGGCTCCCTGCCAACACCAACCACTAAAACTTTATTTGGCAGCAAATGAGACGCACAGGATACCTCTGGAAAACACTCCAGTCCAAATGTTGCTGTTTCTTTTAGACGTAACCCGTTGAAAAAGTACTTTTTTTTTTTATGTTACAAAGACTAAATGTAACAGGTTTTTATTTCAGTCTTAAATACTACCTTTTAAAACCACATTTGTATTTTATTACTTGGTATTTTACATTTTCATGTCCACCAGCTGAGGAGAAAAATAATCTGTTTGTCAACAGAGGTTAGTCTAAAAGTTTGTTAAAACATTTTTTTAGTAAAACTGTTGAAATTGCAGAATCAAGCAGCATTCACAGTTAAAGGTTAAGAACAAAAAGATGCTGAAAACAAATATTCTGTCAACCTTAACAAACACAAAAATGGCCATAACAGACAGAAATTGACTGTAAATACAATCAGCATCTTAAATGTGTTGATGGTGTCAGATTTTCGATTTCATGCATTGTCTTTGTTCCATTTTAATATTTGTGTTGTGAAACATTTAAATCTTTTTCGTTTTGCTTGATATTTAAAATTCCCACCCGTTCTATTTAAAAGTGGTTGTGTGGACAGACTGAAGACTCGTCTTCATACCACCAGGCAACTCTTTAACTCCATTTTAATGACTTTTGGCATTACTTTTTTCACTCAAATATATAAATTTGTTTAGATCAATGTTGAAAGCCATTCAGTATTGTGCACATCAGTTAAAAATTAGACCAATCGGTTGTGAAAGCAGTGTGCTCAGACACAATTATCTCCATCAGGCAGTAACAGGATCCACCTGTGTGGAGCAGGGACCGCACTGTGTGCAGCCAAAGAGCCGGCCTGCTGGCTTCTTGTCCTCCACCAGCTTTATAAGAAGCTGCAAACACAGTGAGGCTGAGGTTTCCAGTCTCCGACATTGTGCCATGAGTTGGTTGTTAGAATTAGGGTGTGTAGTTTTATTTGGTTGTGGAGTTTAACCCCCCCACATTAGCCAGTTTGGCTTCTTTAATAATCACATTTTGTCTTTTCTTAATTTTCTAGGTGGCTTTGTCTCATGATTGTGTTTTCAAACATAGAGGCTCAAAAGAAATATGCCTTAAGTAAGTTTTTCAGTGGGTTTAGAAAAAAAACATTGTGTATATATATATATATATTTTTTTTGCCCATCTGCTCATTTTGGCTACTTTTGACTTTATTTCCACTCAGATATCAGCACAAAATGTCTGGGGAACATCATGCGTGTGGATGTTGGTCCTCTTGAAGGAAACCTTTTGGAGGTTGCAGTTGTCGTCAGTAAGTTGAAACTTCTGGACTTTTAGATTTTTTTTATTTAATTTGGTTCTATTTGGTCTAACACTCCCTTTCCTCTGCAGATAACACTGCTGTGGTTCTTACGCCGAGCTTGGCATCGCAATGTGGCTTCAGCATGAAGACTGACAAGCTTGGGAATGCCATGATCTACATCTCCCTCCAAAACTGTTTTGCTCAAAACGTGGTAACAAGTGATTCTATACCATGTGCAGAACTTATTTCAGTAGTTTTTTAATCATTTTTAAGATGGAACTGCTTCATTTTGTAGGACGACAAAATGTTTGCAACAGCCCTTCACCTCCGGGTGCACGGAAACCTGTTTGAAGACGAGCTGTATCAAGTGGCTGAAACCTGTCGGTATGATGCCTGGGCCTCCAGGGAAATCATCTGTGATTACAACTACGTGGAGGTACGTCGACGCAGCAGAAGGTCATGGTTCTGAAGACTGTCTGCATTGACTAGTGCACTTCATCACTTAGGAAAATTTCTTTTATTTTCAGATATCTGTGAAACGGGCGGCTCCAGATGAATATGCCTTGCCACAGACTAGCTCAAAGTCCATCAACTCTCGACGAGCTGCAGAGGTTATACAAATTTCAACTTTGACAACCTTTTTTAAACATTTTCTATATTCTGAAGTCTATTCTAATTTCAGAAACAACCCTTGGATGCAGGCTTCAGAGTGACAACGGTTTTGTTTTTCACACCTGAAGGAGAGAAGGCAATGAGCGTGGCTGATGCCCAGAGAAGTGGGTATGGCATAGGAAATACTCCAACAAGGCTGGTCCTGCGGAGTCCGATAATGGCACCAGAAATGTACATTCAGGATGTGAGTCAAAAACCGGACTTCATCTTTCTTTCCGGCCTTTAAGTACTTTGAACCCATGAGACAACTTTGCTGCTTACAGCCAGTAGTTGTCATTTAAGTTAAACTGTAAGGTTTTCATTTGTCTTGTGTAACTCTGCCCTCCAGGTAGCACAGATTCCCATGAGGGTTCTGAGCACTTCAACAATCTTTGAAAAGAAATGGCTGGCGACTCAAATTGATGCAGCTGCTGCGTGCCCCATGCAAGAGGGTAAGGATACTTTACAGTGTAGCTTTAAGTGAATCATGACATGTACTCTGCAGCTATCGTGCAAATTTTATCCCAAATTTAGGTGACTTGACTCTGCTGGTACGTCTGTCTGGACGACTGCCCATTCACTTATTGAGAGAAAATGGATGCATGTCAAAATCTGAAATTTAGGGTCTTCTGTTTGACGTCTCTTGCGTTTGTCTACAGGCAGCGTTTTCTTCACTCCGACCACAATCACCTGGTACCTGCCCCGTCAGCCAGACCCATTGATCACATCTGGCCCGTTCAACCTGATGGCGGTGCACTTTGGCATCAATGGTCAAAGGCTCAGTGCTGCTGTCATGCAAGCCCATCAATACTTTGTATCTATTGACGACTATTTTATCGTGACTACAATTCCTATTGGCGCTGCCGGTGGCTACTTCAAGGTGATCTGCACATTTTGACTCGTCTAAAATCTATCGTAGGGTGGCTATGACCACCTCTTTAAAGGATTCACATACATGAGAAATGTGGGTTTGATCTGCTGTTGCAGAGTCACATTAAAGATGATCAGTACTTCATCTCGTACATGATCGAGCCAATGCTTGAGCTGCTCTGGACTGACGACTCCACTCACGAGGACACCAGATACAAAGTGTTCTTTCACATCTCCACAGACTTGATGCCTCAACCTTTGCAACTGATTGACAGTGAGTTAATTACTGCAGTTGTAGCTTTTTTTTTTTTTTTTTTTTTTTTTCTCCCCAGCTCCACTAACATTTTCATTTCCCTTTCACAGATACTGTTCCAGTGGAGCAGATGTTTAACTTAATACTGGGACAATTTGCATCTGATGTGGTTCTGATGAACATTACCTTCCCCTCTGGTGTGTTGTCCACGGCTGAATGCAGTGCCAGAGGCTTCAATGTCATGGAGCACATGTCTCCTAACGGCAGCATGAAGGTCTTCACCCTTCAAGTACCCTTCACAGACCCTGTAGTCCTTGAACAGGTAAAGATTTGGTTTTGGTGCTGCAGAGCAAATAAAACTTCCATTCTAATTTTTTTTTTTTTTTTTTTTTTTTTTTTTTTTTTGTGTGTGTGTTCTTTCAGACACAAAATGGCGTGGTGGTTTATTCTCTTCACCTGGTCTTTGGCTTGTTGGTGCTGGAAGAGCTTGTTCCCTTTTCTTACGTAGCTTATGTGGAAGCTGCTGTACGAAACACGGGTTTGTATTTAATCCACATGAGGTTGATCCAAATGAATCTGAATAAATTGTAAACATTTGTTATAATGTCTTGGCAGTCCCACCCTCCATTTCTGGTGGCTGTGATAAGCAAAACTTCTACGTCCTCGTGAAACACGGAACAGATTACAACTTCCAGACTGCAGTTGGAAAGCGCTTCATGACTCCCAGTTTGGCTCAGCAGTACAACTACATGGATAACGGGACGCACTTCAGTTTTGTTGTTCCATTTAATGCTCCTGATGTGTCCGTTGAGGTATATTACAAAGCTGAATCTCTTTAAATCTGAATCCTTCATACTTTAGGTTACTTTTTTCTGTCTTTCAATTTAGGCTATTGAAGAATCATCAATTAGGTGCCGACTTGATGTATTTTTAAGCAATCCAGAGACAAATGCAAAAATCAAGGACTTCTCTGTGGCTTGCAACTTTCCTGCAACGCTGACTGGTTTGTCAAGGTTCTTATTTCTCCTCCTCTTCTCCTCATCTCTGGAGAATTAATAGTTTTAATCTTCTTTCAGAATGTTTCCCAAATGGAACGATGACCGCTTTGGCTATAAAACTGGAGTCTGTCCCCTCTCTCAACCCTGCTCAGCTCACCCTCGTAGACCCCCTCTGTGGCCCCTCCTACAGCGATGACAGCCATTCTTTCTTTGTCTTTACTGTGAATTCATGTGGGACCACCAGAAAGGTAAAGTTGCTCTAAATTAAACTTGTTCCCATAATGAAACTTAACTTTGATTTCTCTAGTTTTTGCCCAATGCCATGCTGTATGAAAATGAAATCTCTCTGCCTGATGCCCTTGTGATGAGAAAAGACTTGAATTCAGAGGAACCGGAGTATCAGTAAGTGCTTTTGAACTATAATGCTAAATCAACCAAAACCTCAATCCTGAAATGTGGAAAAAGCAAACTATTAAACTTGAAACATTTGTTCCCTCAGCTTGAAGGTTTCATGTTTGTATGAGATCAACACAAGCAAAGCTGTAGCGTTCAACACCAGACCTCGCAGGAGTGAGCCATATGCAGAGAACGCTAAAGGCCAGCTGCAAGTTGTGATTAAACTGGCTTCAGGTAAAACTTGACCATTTTGGATTCTGATGGCATTTAATTTAACAATAAAATAAGATGGACATGATTACTCCAATTAACCTGATCACAAACTGAATTTAACTAAAGGCTGTGGTAATATAAATTCTTCTCCAGATGACTCTTACAACACCTTCCAGAGTCTTGCGCATTATCCAGTAGCCAAATATCTGCAACAGCCTCTGTATTTTGAGGTGGAGCTGATTGGATCTGCAAACCCCCAAGTGTCTCTGCAGCTGGAGAACTGCTGGGCAACACAAAATGAGGACAGGGCGTCCCAACCCAGATGGAACTTGATCATCAATGGGTAACGATGTTTGATTTTAAATGGCACATTTGAAGTACTCTTGCCAAAACTGGGCAACTTGTTTGGAGAATTTGAGCAATCAAAAATGCACCCATTACAGATGTCCAAATCCAGTGGATCCATATAAGGTGGTCTTCCATCCAGTTTGGCCTGATGCCAGGGTCCGTTATCCATCTCACTTGAAGCGCTTTGAGATCCAGATGTTTGCCTTTGCAGAAGGCCAAGATGACCTGAATAACCAGGTAACTTAAAATTTTTTTTAAATTGCTTAAAACTTTTTTTTTTTTTAATTTTATTTTTCCCCACCCCGACAGGTATTTGTCCATTGCGATGCTGTGATCTGCGATGCCCAAAATCCTCGTGGTGGCATCTGTACTGGGCAGTGTCAAAACCCTGAAAGTCAGACAAAAGGTGGGGACTTGTCCCAGTGGGTATATGCCATGCTTGGAGGAAATATGTCAACACTAAACTTTTTTTAAAACTCTGTTTTCTCCACAGGTCAGAGACATGATGTAAATAGTTTTGAATATGTATCAATTGGACCAATGAAATTTAACCAGTTGCAATAAAGACTTTTAATTAAAAAAAAAAAAGACCTTCACATTAATGTGTCAACCAGGTACATTGTCTGTAGGTTGCAGATTTTTTTTTTTTTTTTTGAGCACTGACTATGAATGGGTTTAATGGATTAAAATTGGCTGTGCTAATTCCTGAACTTGCACTCTTAAGATTGCATGAACTTCACAAACATTTTAGTGCAGTAAGTGTATAAAGTTAAATGCATAGTTTAATGTGACTCGTGCTGAAAAAGTGGTTGCTTTTGACAATTTTTTTTTTTTTTTTTTTTTTTTTTTTTTTTTTTTTTTTTTTTTTTAATAAATCCCTATGATGTGACAGCTGGGCAAAGCTGATAATTCAAATATTAAAGTTTAATCTAAACTATCAATTAATGCAGTGGTAATATCCAGCCCTGGACCAACTTAAACATTCTTAAAATTAATTTTTAAAATCTCCCAAAGGCCCATCAAGTTCCCAAAGGAACCTGATGGGCCTAAAGATCAGGTGACCATGAACACTGGAGTTCAGTAAATGGACATCGGATCCCCCAATTGTGTAATTTTGACAGGTCTGTAACCTCCAGTCTAATCTTGGCTGACTGTAGTGGAAGTTGGTGTGGTGGTTGGATGCTGAAGGTCAAGGTGTCTTGTCATTAACATATGTGGTACATGAGGGGGAACAAAACTAGGTACAGTCCCAGTTGCATCCAATAAAAATTGTAAAACAAAACTAAAAATATAAGATTAAACTAGGAATATACTAAGCACTAATAGTAAAAAAAAAAAAAAAAAAAAAAAAGTCCAACACGGCAACACAAACATTAGTCTGTGTGAGCAGATCAGGACAAATGAGCAAAGCAACATGAACTAAATCAGCATGAGATCAGCAGCATGGATAATCATGCGGCATAAGAGATTCATGAGTCTTGACAGCCTTGGGGTAGAAGCTGTTCCTCAGTCTAGTGGTTCTACCTTAATACTCCTGAACCTGCCTGAGGTGAGCAGGGTAAAAAGTGTGCTGGGTGAGTGGGGTCCTTCATGGTGCAGGTGGCCCTCTTCCTGCATCTGGAGGTGTAAATGTCTGTGATGGCACATTTGTTAAGATTGGATCTTGTGTATTCGGACATGGTGTTATGCTGACTTTTGTTCAAGTGTTTATTCAAGCTACTTTTTTGCCTTTGGGCAGGCTGGTTTGAGATGACCTTCTCCTAAACAAGACTTTATTCCACACAAACAATGCTCAGTACAAAATTGCACATCCCAGTAACCTGCAGTTTCTGAAAAACTCAGACCAGCCCATCTTGCATTAACTGTTACATTTAAAGTCAGTTTAATCCTTGTTTTGTTTTCCTAATTCTCATGGTTTGAACTTCATTAAGCTGTCTTCACATTTAAATCCCCAAAGGCACTGAGAAGCTACCATGTGATTGGCTGATTAGCCATTTGTGATAACAAGCAAACCTAATTAATTGGGGAGTGTTTATACATAAAACGTGCAACTATCCTTATGGAATACCATGATAAACGCATCAAAACTAAAGGCTTCTTTGCTCTTCAAGATACATCCATACACTATCTTTACCTGCTTTTCTATTTTGGGATTGCTAGGGTCACTAGTGCCCATATCCATCAGTCACTGTGAGAGGTGGGGGACACCCTGTACAGGTGCACTTGCATCACACGGCCACATAGAGAAAAACAAAATTCATACCTATAGACGGTTTAATTACCGGTTAGCCTAACATGCATGTTTTTGGTTTATAGGAGGAAACCCACTCATGCATGGATGATGTAAACTCAAAGTCCCCCGGCTGAGATTCATTCAGGCGACTTTCTCGCCGAAAGGCGGCAGCTCTACCAACTGAACCACATGCTGCCTCCTCAAGATGCAATTAAATATAAAGCACAAATGAAGTTCTCCTAAAATGACACAAGTTTAATAAATTTCCAAATCTTTTGCAAATGAATGCAAATGTGCTGTAATAAGGCCATGGTAAAAAAAAAAAACAGACTGCTGATGAAAAATATTGTACGGATACAAAGATTTGCTTCAAAGTCTGGTGTCTTTTGACAAAACTGCTTATTGAGAAATAATAGAGAACTCTGAGCATTGGCATGTTCAATGAGCTGCTGGTGTCCTTGAACAGTTTACTGGGTGTGAAGCAGTTGGTATTTTCTACTCTTTTTATTTTGGCTCTCTGTCAATGTAAAAACAACAGATATTAACATAAATGTAAAACTGCACAAGCTAGAATAGTGGTCTGAGAACATTAAAAGATATTTTCAAATGTCATTTTTCAGGTTTTCTAGCCTCCAGTGTCCATCGTGCAGTCTACTGTTCACTTTTGTTTGCTGCAGCTTGTCTAAAGCTGAATCCCTCGTTTAAATTTTCTAAACATGCAGGCAGAAGATTAATGGCACAAAACCATTTGGAGAAATTACTTTCTCTTTTACAGTATATCTCAATTGCTAAAACACTAAACCCTGTCATCTGAACAAAATGTGCCCTGAACCCATTAATTAAAATGGTCACCCTTTTGGCAGAACCTTAAGCACTTCTCTCTTAAGCACTACTCAAAATCATACTTTCACCCACTAAAACACATTTTGTACTGTGATGCACTGGTGCTGCGTAATGGTAAGCACAGGTAGTAGAAGTGAAACCCAGAACACAGGTGTCAAGTTAAACACAGAAACACAAAATTGATCAATCTTGGCCAATGATGTGAACAAACTAATACAACCAGTACAAGGAGCCCTGGTCATAGAAGGTTCACTGTGGATAGAATCAGAGAGGCAGAGTAAGAGGTGGAAGAGGAGGTACGAGACGAACAATTGTTTCAGATTAAATACAAGCAACTGTTATAGACCATGTTCTTGTCCACAGTTTGACAATGAAGGAAGCGGGACTTCAAGTTCAGCCCAACCTAAGTAAGTTCACTGTGTCCACCATAGTCCAAAGATTCAAAGAGAACAGGTAATGGCTTCGATCAGTACATGTTTACAGTATGACTCCAGTCCAGTTCAGCTTCAGATGGACAACGGGATCATCGGCCGTGCGCGTCTGCTGACCAGCCGGTTGAAAGAGGAAAGAAAAGACATCTTTGGAGTTGATTATTTGTTTAGGCTATTTGTTTTGTATGTGAATATCCATTTGGTGACGTTAATAAACAAGAAATCTTTTCTTTCTTTGAAATACATGTTTAAAAGTATGTCAAAGTAATTTGCTTATTAAAGCAGTAATAGCTTAATATTTATTTTATTTTATTTTCCAGGTTGGGCCTGTAATTACAGTTAATTGGTCAAGTCGGACTCGGACAAAATGCCTACAGGCTCAGGCTGGGTTGGATCTTTATAGGCCTGAATGCAACTCTAATCCATCTCACAATGTTTATGTTGAATAAAATTCTCTTCACTAACATCGTTTACTCCAAAGAGCCTCAACTGTCAGCAGGTTAAGATTTTTAACTGGCTTTTTACTTGCAAAGGCTGCATTCAGGACAGGTTTTAGATACGTAGATGCATATGCATAGTGTCCAGAATGGAACATCCAACAGTGTCATCTACTGACTTTTATAACATTAACAGTTCAGTGGAGTTCAGTGGGCATTGCTGCAGTCCTATCACACAGCAACACCCTTTGTCTGCACACATCTGGTTTATGAGAATCATCATGAGTCTGCCTCCAGTCTGAGACAAGTGTTTTGGGAGACAGCAACTTCTTACGGCAGGAGAGCAATATGTTCTCAGCCATCTCATCCACAATATAAAAACACAATGAAAGCATTCCCAACCTTTGACCAAAAGTTCCCCAGTTTACATATATACATGTGATCTAAAAAAAAATACAAATAAATAAGTATTGTGAAAAAGTTAAGTGTTTTGGGAGACGGCAAGTTCTTAAGGCAGGAGGGAAAATCAACATCTTCATATAGCTCATCAGCAGAAGAAAGCATGAAGTGCTCTGAAATGTGCTAGATGCTGCATTGACTGGACTTCAGAAAACTGTGGACCAGCACCACCAGATGACATGGCCCCAAACCATCACTGACTGTGGAAACGTCACATTGGACTTCAAGCAACGTGGATTTTGGGCCTCTCCACTCTTCCTCCAGACGCTGAACCTTGATTTCTAAATGACAATCAATTTACTTTACAATTTATTCTCTGAAAAGACATGGACTACTGAAAGTCCAGTTATTTTTCTCCTGAACAGGTTTGACATCTCCGGTTCTGGAATGTAACATTTTAGTCCATGTTGAGTTCAGCCAATTAGTATTTATAGCATGAGTTTACAATTTTGAACAATTCAATTCAATTCAGTTTATTTATATAGCGCCAAATCACAACAAAGTTGTCTCAGGGCACTTTACAGGAACATTCACATACATAAAAGCCAATTAGTAAAGTTCTCTAAGGAATCCAGCAGACAAGTTGAATCTTGGCTTCGTTGCAGTCTCCCATCCTGAGCAAGCACAGAGGCAACAGTGGAAAGGAAAAACTCCCTTTTTAAAGTTAGTAAGAGATCGTATCTCTCTAGTTTTAGCTTCTCTCCATTGACTCCTTGTCAAACCCAGAATAGAATTCAAAATCTTCTAACCTACAAAGCTCTCAACAACCTGGCTCCATCTTATATTACAGATCTTATTGGTCCATATTTTCCTAACAGACCACTTCGCTCTCAGACTGCAGGTTTACTTGTGGTTCCTAGAGTTTACAAAAACAGAATGGGAGGAAGATATTTCAGTTATCAGGCTCCTCTCTTGTAGAACCAACTTCCAATCTCTGTCCCTGAGGCTGACACATTATCCAGTTTTAAAACTAGGCTTAAGACTTTCCTTTTTGCTAAATCCTCCGGTTAAGACTCTGGCAGCAGCATTTTGGATCAACTGAAGACATTTTAGGACATCCAGATAAACCATTGCAATAGTCCAGTCTAGACGTGACAAATGCACAGACCAGTTTTTCTGCATCATTTTTAGATGTTTCTAATTTTAGTGATATTACGCAGGTGGAAGAAGGTGGTTCTAGTAACGTTTTTAATGTGGGGGATAAGACGCGTCCTGATCAAAAATAAGATTTTTTTAACATTACAGCTGGAGGACAGATTAATGCCATCTAACAAGGGAGAAAGACTGAATTATTACAGTGCTCAGATCCAAAAACCAAAACCTCAGTCTTGTCTGTTCAACAGGAGAAAAGGGTCATCCAGGTTTTTGTCATCAAGACATTCTTGTAGTCCAAGTAGCTGGGTTCATTGGGTTTAATGGACAAATAGGCGTCATCAGCATATTAATTTATGCCATGCCGTTTGTTTTATGCTTCCATTAGGTAGAGTATTGGTTTAAGCACTGAGGAACTCCATGACCAACTTTGTTGTATGAAGATTTACATATTGGACTAGATTAAACCATTCCTGTAATTCCATATTCAAGACTAGTAAAATTTTGAGCAACTGCAGCACTGAGGTCTTACAGGACCAGTAAGACAATCCATGAGAATGTGACCAATGCTGTCGTTGATACAAGCTGTAAGCCCCGACTGAAATTCAGATTTGTTCATGCACCATTTCTAGATTTAAGATTGTATAGTTTGCCAGAACATCTAATCGTTTAAAAAAAAAAAAAATTCAAGGCTTTAAATTTTTTTCCTCTTTTTTTTTTTAATCACCTAAATTCAAAATTGAGTTTTGTTAGGCTACAACCATAATTTTTTTTTTTGTGGGTGTGAGGGAGGAGTTGGCATTTACAGGAATTTCAAGTTACTGCAGGCATTTATTAAATCTAACATTTTAGCCAATACAGCATGTATACTTTTGGTAAAATTAAATGTAGAGCAGAGGGTCAATGTTCAGACAAATTTAAATTTATGAATTTTTTAAAATTTTTAATGTTTTAAGTATTTACTGTTTTGGGGCCAAAAAATTTTTTTAGGGGAGTATTTTTATTTGATTTAAAGTTTAGTCACATTACTCAGTTTAGAGTAAGTTTTTAAATGGAGTTGGAACCACACATTTGTCAGTATTTAAACAAAAAAAAAAATCAGAACATGGACAGAAATAATTTAAGAAACTTTATTGAAACGACTATTGAAAACGATTCAATGCAATAGGTCCAGAGGAGATCTGCTTTTGGTGGGTTGGAGTTTGTTGTGCTGCAAGAAGAAAGTCATGGATTAGTAAATTAAGGTTTGTCCCCACCAAAATAAATTTAGATACTTACCCCTTTTCATTCCGTGATGAGACATCTTTGTTTTAGTTGAGATGCCAGAACATTGGCCTTGGCAGATACCTTCAGCTGGGCTGGTTCTGTCACAAATCACCACGTTGCAGTGGACATAGATCTGTAGATTAAGAGAATTTGTTAGCATTGCCGTCATTAGTTTTTTTTTTATGCAAATCAGGTGGATTAGACAAAGGCTCCTACCTCATGTTTCAAAACCTTTTGATCTTCAAGGAAGGTGAACATCTTCATGGAGAAGTGCTTGGCATGGGAAGGAACTGAGACTCTGGTATCCATTTCAACAGGATGGAAGGCTGTGATGTAGGCATCGTCAGGGTTTTCACATCTGGGAATTGAACACACACGTTAAAGACTTGGAACTTTGTAGCTGTCAATAAAGGTTTTTTTTTTACATTTAGACATACCCATTGACAATGATGTCCCAACTGGGGAGAGCTGTTCTGTCTTCCTGAAGATTTGCCCAGCAGTTTTCCAACATGAGCTCCAAATGAGAGTCTGTTGAGACGAGTTCCACTTCAAAGTACAGAGGCTGCCTCAGATGTGCTTCTACTGGGTAGTCTTCAGCACCATAAAACTGTTTGTATGAGGAGTCTAGGGACAAGGCAAACCATTTAATAAGCAATCCAGAGTGCAAGCCAAGATGTTTGAGTTTAAAGTTACCTGTTGCAAGCCTCATCTGCACGACCATCAGTCCGGAGCCGACCTCTGCTTTTGGCTCATACAGCCTTGGTTTGGCAGCAAATGCAATACTCTGAGTGTCATTAACCATGTAGTAGCAGGAGATGGTTTGCCTACAGGGAGAATTAGTTTTAGTAATATCAGCTTGGGGTCATTTGATGAGCACACATGTATACGTACCTGTATTCAGGGTCAATTGGAGAAGTGCGTGGTTGTCCCCTTTCACGAGTGTAATACAGGGCAATGTCGTTCTCGTACAACATGTAGTTGTTAAAGAACTAAAGGGAAAAATAAGTTAGATTATGAGTTAAACTCTCAAGTTTCTAGTGAAGAAACCAACTTACAGTTCTGGTTGTTCCACAAGAATCAGCACTGAAAGTGAAATGGGCAAAGCGATCGTTGCTGGAGGCTGGTGTACAAGATGGGTCCTTCAGAGTTAGCCAACTTGGGTTGAGGTTAGGCACAGAGCTCACTTTCACAGCCAGAGCAGTGATTGTACCATTGGAGTAGCACCCTAAAACGAAACAAGTCATTAAGAAAACTCTAGAGAACTTTACAACTGTTTGCTACCATTAAGCAATCTTACTAGTAGTTGTCAAGGGGAAGTAGCAAGCCAGGTAGAGATCAGCGAGCACCCAGTTGTTGTTAGAGTCCCACAGCAGCATGTCAAGTCTGGCTCTGATTGAGTCAGTGGTTATCACCTGGAGAACACAGGACAAGTTATTAAATTCATGTTTGTATGGAAAGTATTGTCCAATTTAACTTACCTCAAACACTACATCTTCAGCAGCATATGGAACTTTAATGGTGAAATGTGTGGCGTTGTCTTGAAACTGGTAGGCTTCAGCAAGTTCAGGTGTCAAGATGCGTGTTCCAGCCAGGGTCTGGAATTTATTTCCTTGGCTGCCATATTTCACAGTGATCTGAAACTGGTCATGGTCACAGGTGCCAGAAAGTGTGGGCAGCACTGGGGAGAAAGCATTAGGACAAGTTACATGGCTGCAGTTGCTATTGGATATCTTGGTTGGGGGGGGGGGATTCTTACCAACGTCCTTAAGAGATGCTTCCAATTGTAGAGTGTGGGCAAATGTCATTTCCTCAGGTAGGATGACAAAGCCAAAGACTGCAGGCAGTGTGTACGTTGTTGTCAAGGGCTCTGGGTTCTGTCATGTGTAAGAGAAAACCCATTAGTGGGTTCCTATTTTTTTTAGTGAATTAGGTTTTTTTTTTTTTTTTTTAAACTTACATGCTTCAGGACAGCATCAGAATCAAAGGGCACTTGAATAGAGAACACCATTGAACCATTTGAAATAAGGTGCTGCTGGATAAGGAAACCTCTGGCATTGCTCTCCTCGACAGTGAAGACGCCATTAGGAAGAGTGATGTTTATCAGCTGCACATCATGAAGGAAGGTTCCCACATAAGCGGTGAAATACCTCTCTTCTGGGATAGTACCTGAGAGGACAGAGTTACAGGTCTCTCCCCCGCCTACGAGTTCTGCTTTTGAATTTTTGTTGTACTTACGATCTTCGGTGAATGGAGGGCGAGGCATTGGTGGAGTTGTGATGGGAAACAAAACCTTGTACCTAGTGTCATCTTGAGTGTCATCAGCCCTCCACAGCATCTCAAGCATGGGCTCAACAGAATAAGTGATATGGTACAGGAAGTCTGGGGCATGGCTCTGCAATTGAATATACCATTAGATGCTAATCACATTTTTTTGTTTCAAGTGTCAGTTCATTCACAAACCTTATAGTAGCCATCAGGTGAGCCAACTGGGATATCCACAACAATATGAAAATCTGTTGTAGTCAACGAGTACTTCCTTGCAGCCATCTGAGCTTTATCCAGCCTCAGACCATTGATTCCCATGAACATTTCTACAGTTTTAACTTTGCCATCCAGAAGAGGAGTCACACGGCGAGGCAAGTGCCAAGAGATGAGGTCCTCAGTGAACAGGACACCACCTGTTTATAGGCAGTATTTTAGTTTTGACTCAGTTGAGAATATATACACCTTTTTTTTTTTTAAGTTTAAGCAACTCACCTGTGGGGCATGCAGCTGCCAAGTTGACAACATTGAGTCCATGCTGCGTCTTCTGGTAAACGCTCACTTTCAGGACTTCCATTGGGATTCCAGCCACCTGAGTGTATGCGTGTTAGATACTGTATACACATTTAAAACTAATGGGGAGGTGCTACTTACATCCTCGGAGTGGGTCTCTGCTGTATGGTAGGGGCTTCGCACAACCAGACGAGTGGGGGTAGTAATGGCACTGTAGCCAGCTTGTTCAGCTTCTTGCAGCACCATGGACACAGCTTCAGGAGTGAAGAAGGTCATCTTCCAGATTCCACTCTCTTCGTTTGAGGCCTGTGGAGAGCAAATCTAGTTAACTGAACCAAACCAATGAGCCTTTTTAAAGAAAAAAAAAAAAAGTAGGACATACAGCAGGAATAGAGTTGATTTGAGAGTCATCCTTCTCTTGGCCCTTGGTTTTAGCTTGGGGACGTTTGGCCAAGTAAGTAGACACCTTTTATAGGAAATAAGAAAAATTAGTTCTTCCTTTGCAAAACTAAATATATAGTGTAAAGTAACTCACTTCCATGTAGTTTCTTTCACAGAGGATCTCTCTAGGGGCCCAACGAGTGTAGCTGCAAGTCTGTGACACATCGTGACTAATTGGATCAGCTGGACTGCTATGGAATATTTTCAGTTTCAAGCCAACAGTGAAGGTCATGTCATCCTACAAAAGAAAGTAAGTCACTCAAACCATGCATCTTCATAGGGGACCTTCAGGTCTTTAAGACTCAGGGACCACTTGATGCTAGTACAATTTCCAGATTTTACTAGTCACTTTAAGATACCTTGTTATCCACATAGCAACCCAACAGAGATGTGTAGATTCTGGTATTGCCCCATGGGTCAGACTCCATACTGTAGCCACACTGAGCAGCAAGCCTGGGTGTCACCATAATAAGCCTGGAGCCATCTGAAAAGGAAGGACCCATGAAAATCCATTGGTCACTTCCACCAGTAGATAACTAGCAAACTCTAAGGGGCTAAGACACTTACTTATAGCTTCTACTTCAAGTTGGTTTCCAACTGCAAGAGCCTTATCCAAAGAAAGCCTCATCACATTAGCAGCACAATCAGTCCTTAAACCACTGTCTGCTTTAAATAAAAAAAACAGCTGGTTAAGTAGCCAACCCAATTAAGAATTTACACAAACAAATGCAGTAATTTAAGCTTACTTGGCTGAGAACTGAGCTTCACATTAGGCCAGGCTTGACCCAAGACAAAAACTGCAGCCAGCAGGGTCCATAACAGACTAAAACAAATAGTTAACATTAAAGCAACATCATAAACAGTTTGAGGGGAGAGCAATGACAAAAACTTACTTTTTCTCAGGCTTCCGCATGTTGCAGTGCAAAAACATCCAGACAAAAGGAAACTACGAGGCCCAACTGCCACCAAAGCTCAGCTTTGAACCTCACAAGCTCCACAGATGAAGCAGCTCTGAAGGAGAAGGAGCTGATGCTTCTCTGCAGCCTCACCGCCTGTTTTATATGCCTACTAACGAGCACACACAGGCTATCTGAAGGTAATTGGTAACACCTTGTGTCTTTTTTTTTCCTACAATCTGCAAATATGGATGTGTTTAACTCAACGCAAGCACCAAAGATGGTTAATGACATCATTTAATGTTAGTTTTTGTGAAAAGTTCATTTTATTCATCATGATTCTGTTTTAACTGACTGATTTTCTTAAACATGCAGATGCTTGATTTAAGCCACAGAGAGTTTTTCTTTTGAAGCTGAAATTATTTATTTCATATTATTGCATGGCCATTTCTTGTTTTGATCACAAGAATCCTTCTATAGTTGGTAAAATGTATTTTCTAAGACTCTCTGTCTCGTCACATTTCAATGCTGCTTAACTTACGAGGCTAATATAATTTTGATGAACTAAAATCTTTAAAAAAAGAGCAGAAATGAATTATCTAAATATGTGAAAAATATAATAAATCGATCAACTGTTACAGTGATCCTTGATAGAAGAACTTTGTCACAATTGAAAACATTAGGATCAGATCCAGTTTAGTTCTCAATACTTTATCTAAACTTACTCCTTGTGTAAATGTAACATCCTCTGCATGACTCAGAAAACAGAGCTATTGTAAACTGATGATAAACATTTTAGCGTAAAATGTACCTTATGTTGTAAGAAGCTGCAATCTGAATCAATCTATTTGTCTGTATTGTTAGCAAAATATCTCATGAACCAATGGATGGTTTATCATGAAACTTCCATTAAGTGATCACTGAATGTGTCTCTACAACTGATTTACTTCTGGAGTCAAAATGGCCACCACAGCTAAGCAGTTGTAGCCAACAATAAAATGGCTTAAAGCTGGTTAACTGTACACACATTAAACTTAGTGGCGTAGCAGCTGAGAGTCGTTCCGTACACATGTTGAGCACAAATTGTGAAAGATGTTTTTAAAACCGTCTGTTAGCAAAATATCTCCAGAAGGACTGTATGGATTTTAATCAAACTCTCAGAAATGAATCATTGTGTGTTCATTTAATGCTGATTAACTTTTGGAGTCATCTTAATTTAAGATGGCCACACTAGCCAACTGATTTTAGGAAACAGTAAGGGCTATAAATCAGTTTTGCAAATATTGAGCTAAAATTAGCTGTGGTAGTAGCTGACAGTCATCCCCAACCAATACTTAGAGCATGACATATTGCAAAGTCACATATTACTCATGTTATTTTCAAGCTTTGACCAAAAACAGCTACAACTCCCGTCATTTTTCTGTATGGTATGATCATGAAAGGCGGCGGGTGATATGCATCCTTTCAAGAAATACTGTCCCTTTTTTACCGATTTGCTAACTGGCATAATGGACAATAAGGGTCATATTTTCAAACTTCTTCTGTGTCGATCCCTTCATTGACCTCATAGCAGTTATTAAAAGTAAACACCAACTTCAGGTATTCATTCGCTGTTTATTTGTGTGTACAGACAAAAACATCACATGACCATGAACCCAGCTTGTTTAGGTCAAGTTTGGGTTTTTCAAAGTGACAGTTCAGCCTCATTGGAGGGAGTCCTTCAGAGAAAGGTGACAAAAATAAAACACAGAAAATTACATTATTTATATTACTTCTAAACACTAAAGCAATTTTTTTTTTGTTTCGTTGAGAAGACGCTCCATGATCAGAGAGATCTAAACTTTACTCAAAAAATAACATCTTTGATAAGACTGTTTCCTCGCATTCAGTGCAGTCTTAGTGCAAAAGATCGTTTATGATTTTTTTTTTAGATATGTTGTATTTCAGCAAAGGAGTGCGGTGCATATTTCTTTATTTTCTTTACAAGGTGCCTGCTGTTCACCAAGCTGAAGTTTCACTACGACTCTTATCCTCAAATCAGTCTGAAAATTAAATAAAACCTCCACACGTAAACAAAAAACTTTATGAGAACATAAAAGCAGAAGAATCGAAAACATATTGTACAAAGTGTCATAAAGCAGATGATTGATCTCTATGTGATTCTGCCGTTTCGTTTTAACTTAAAATGCTCTCAGTCATGATCCAGCATAATTTCTGCAGGTGAGTAAGAGTAAAGCTGTTTGCTCAAATCTTCCATGTGTTATGATGATGATCACTGAGCACCAGAGGAGCCTGAATATGTGCAGTAGATGATTGACGTCATCAGTATTCCCTATCAAGCTTCTGCTGCTGGTCCAGAAGTGTTTGCCGCAGGCTCACTTGAGCATCTTCAAAATCTGGATTACGCTTTAATGCTTGTAGGAAATCCCCCTTGGCACCATCAAAAAAGCCTGTAGGGTAACAAACATAAAATACATCATCAGATTACGACTGTAATTTGTAGGTTAAGAACCAGTGGCTAAAAAGCTGTGGAGCATTTCACTGCAAGAACAGAGCTCCATCTAGTGTCTTTCAAAAGTACACACCAAAGAGGAAACAGTACAGTACAGTACAGTACAGTACAGTAAAACAATAACAGTCTGTCATGCAAGAGATATGATGGCTACCATAGCCAAGATTTCAGACTAACATTACTTAATGTGTCTTGTGTAAATAAGCATATGTTTAGATTCACTTGTATGTTTGGCAGTAATTATGTGGTACACATTTATTTTAAGGAGCTTAGTTAAGAAACAAGAACATTTGTGAAGGAAATAACCACATGATTCAGACTTTTATTTTGAAGGGATTATACGGAAGTAGGTTATTATGTACAGTTAGCCCTTTTATGAGGTAATACCTTGACGTTTTAATCTACCCTTTCTTACCTAATCTATAGAGGATGAGCCCTCTGTTGTAGAAAGGGACAGAAAACTGGTTGTCAGCCTGTATTGCGGACGTGTAGTCCTCTACAGCTTCGTGAAAATCCACCCGGAAGTATTTTATCTGTCCGCGGTTGTTAAAGGCTGTGGCCAACCTCACGGCTTCACACTCCCTGCACAAATACAGTAGAGTTAAAACAAGGTTTTATTTTAATAAACACTTAAATTGCGACAGGAGAAAATATTAAATAATTGAATAGTCGTTAACAAGTCTTTGATTTTGATAGGTACCCAAAAAAGCAGTGAAATGCATCAAAAGTTAGCTAACGTTACCTAAAGGAAAATAAACAATACCTGGATTGTAAACAGGAAGTAATAAACTTAGTGTAAAGCTCTTCCGCTTCTTTATAATTGCGCTCGTTAAACTTAGAGTGAGCATCTTCAAGTATTTGAGAATATTCGTCTTCCATGACGGGATGTTTATTTTTGACAGCGGATATGACGTCACGTCAAGAGTATCCAATCACATTTTGTATGTCAAAAAGAGGTGTGGTTTAACTGTTAGCCTTCACAAATAAGCGTTTGATCCCCACTTTTTTATTTTTGTATTTAAATCATTCATGTTTTTAAATTAATAAATCCATTTTGTTTTTTTATTTGTCATATTGTAGTACCAGGGAAACTAGTTTACTGCAAAGTGTTGTCCCAGTGATAAATGTGTTATTAAAAACAACAATTTTCTTTGATGATGAGCATATTTGACATAACTGTACAATTGTGCAAATCTCTAGTTCAAAAAGACTACTTGTTTTCCACCTTAAATGTTGGAAAAAATTAAATTTTTATGCATAAAGTATTTTTCAGATGTATTTATTTTGAAAATGAATTTTTTTTTTTTAAATGCATGCATTTGAAAACGTTACCTAAAGTACAATTTGGAACATTAGTAACATTAACATTTTGAAATGCATATATTTTTTACAAACTTAGTTAACTGCTGAAAAGTACTGGATACATATATTTGTAATACATTTTTAAAGTATGGCTTGAAAACAAAATTTTACAAATACATTCAAAGTGCATTTAAAAAAGTTTATATGAAGTTTAATTTTGTAAATATATTTGATTGAAATTTATTTTATATTTTGCAAAAAATAGTACTTCATAAAGTGTAACAAAATATATTTTATAACAATGTCCATGAAGTATATTTAGATAAATCTATTTATTTTACATTTTTGATGTAATTCTAATCACTTGAGAACATATTCTAATGTATTTCTTGAAAACTAAGCCTATACTTAAAATATACTTAAGTACATTAAATTTTCACCAGGGCAATCAACAGTTTTTCAGGCTATGTGATTTTTTTTTTAGTATTCACATGTCACAGTGTACTGTAAATTTTGTACTCATAAATGAACAAGTGCAGGACAAAAGATGATGTCAAACTTACTAATCTACAGCAGCTGAACAGTATCTATACAAAGTTGCTAAGTTGCCTGAAATTCACCAGTGAAACGGTGGATAAAACTTTCCTAAGTTCAACCTTAGGAAAAACAAGACCATATACTGAACTAAATCCAAATTATACTTTGCTATTTTGTTATTAGCGCTAGCACAAATGTATTTTGTTGCTGAAATTTTGAATCAGATTTTCATCAAAACTGAATAATGTAAAATGAGAAGAAGAAAAAAACCAATAGCATCAAGACTACACCCATTATAATGGTAATACAAAAATCTGCTTAGATAATTTCCTCTTATTAGCAAGAATCTTTCACCCCATTTTTATTTAAATTCATAACTTTCTGTTGAATAAAAAGAACTGTCAATACATTTGACGTCAAACATCCAGCCAAGGGACAACCTGGATCCTTTCTGCACCTGAATGAACAACAAGAAGGCGTAAACAAACCCAGGAGACGTTCTCAGGCCATTTCACACATGCAGCCTCAGTCATTCAGGTGATAAACGACGTGTTATGGAGCCAGAGGTCACTCGGCAGCCGTGCACTTCTTTTTCATCGCCTCGTTTCTCTGCAGACTGTGTGGATGAGTTGGCGCAGATCAAACGGAGCGTACAGACCGAGAGGGAGAGGTCACAAACCGCCTGCTGCTGAGAACACACAAATACCAGCACATGTCTTACTTATAACATTTATGAAGCTGCAATGTAATGTTAGAGGAAGTTTTGCATGAATTTAAAAGCTCAGAAACACTTTGCACAATATTTAAAACATAAAAACAATGGTGTTATCATAAAATATTGTGTTAAATCCTGAAACTCATTACATTTTTTTGATATTCACCTGTCAGTGCTGATCAATACTGCATTTCATACTTGAAATAAGCTTGTATGAGAAGGGTTTAGCAGGTTTACTTTTGCAGTCCACAGCAAAGATTATTATATTCAGCAGCTTCAGAGCCTAAAAGTTGCTGTTTGCTGACAGAATTAACACAAAGTGTCCAAATCCACCCCAGACCGGCAGAGGACAGACCTCCTTCCATCCTGCATGGGAGAGATATTCCTCCAGACAATTCAGAGCGTTGAAATGTCTCCGTGCATCAAAAAATGTTCCCATTTTACACTAAACTGTTAGCTGAGATTCAGGTTGGTGTAGGTTTTGCACTTTAATATGATATTTTAGCCTCAACTTTTGACCGCTATGATAGGATATTACTGTATATGTCTGTAATGAGCTGCTGAGATATTGCCACATCATATAGGGATCACTTTGCTGTCTTTAATCCTAATTTACAGTCATCTCAGCTATTATTGCCTGCTTTCAAAGGCAAAAGGACAATGATGTTATTGCCCATGTCTGCGTGTGTCTGTTAGCAACATGAACTACTGGAAACGTTTATTAAAACTAGCAGATAATATTTAATGAATCTTCATGTAACTGACAGATTTTTTTTTTTTTTTAATCAGCCAGATTCTAAATGGCTGCCACAGCTGATTGACCTTAAAAAGCACAAAAATGATTGTGAGTCAGTCAATTTGATCATCAATGAGCTAAGAATTAGAGTGGTAGTAGCTGAGACTGATCCCCAACAAATATTTTAGGAGCTAGATTACCATTTAATGATTTATCATTAACTTCTTGGAGTCAGTCAGCAAAATAAACAGATTTTATTGAATAGAATAGAATGGAATAAAATAGAATAGAATAGAATAGAATAGAATAGAATAGAAACAGCGTTTATTGTCCCACGGATGAGAAATTCAAGTGTGATAGCAGCAACAGCAGCAACAAATAAAAAGATTCACACAAAAGTTCCTAAATGTTAAAAACAATTTGTAAAGAAATAAGATAAACAATATCAATAATATTGTTCAATATGTGTTGGAACATTGATAAGGACAGATTATTTACAGTACCGTAGTACAGGCAGAGTGTGCGTTTTAGCAGAGGTCAGCATGTATTTAATCCTTATTGAGTTTGTTAGGAGCAGTGATGGTTATAAAGGTTATACATGGTTATAAATATAACAAAGTGTTTCATCTTGTGATATGATAGTCCACATTTTTTTTTTTTAATTTTCAAGGCTAAACTTTTTTTTTTTTTTTTGCCAGGTGTCATGACCTCTTGGATTTTTGTTGTTGGACGAGAATCCAAGCTCTCGTCTAGTTCATCTTTTGTTGAGGATAGAGTATAAACGTGCTGTTTTAAAGCTCGGGATTGCATATTTTTTTATTTAAAGGCCCTAATTTTTAGCTTTCAGAACTAATGAGTTGTTTTTCTGTGTGATAAATGTGTCAACAAACACCTGCTGAAGCCTCAAGTTCATCCTCAGCTTCTGTTAAAATCTCCTGAACAGAGAAGCGTTGTCTCACACTCCACCTCTCAGACGTGTGCGAGTCCCATTCGTCTTTCCCCTCTGAGACGTGTGTGTGACTGCTTCAGTGTGTAGGTGTGTGTGCTAACCACAGCTAACAAACATGAACCGTCTGCCCGCTTAAAGGAAGGAGACGTTTGGCTCTCGACTCGGCCTCGGGCGGACGTCGCAGACAGAGAGATGCTCTGTTGACGCTGCTGCTCCAGGCAAATAAACCTACACATTCCAGGAGTTACATGACGACCACCTCTGTTGTTGTTTTCTTCTTCTTGGCAACAGACAGTCGCAAAATGACGACTGCAACAACAAAATGCAAAAAGTAAATGGGTTTATGTCAGTTGTGTGTTGTGGTATTAACATAAAATTAATAAATTTGAGTCAAAAATTGGAAAGTAATGACATCGTGACTTCAGACATTACAGCGAACTGTAGCACTTTGTTAACAGAATATCAGATCTCTACTGTCATATTTATTTTGTCATATTGACACAGACACACATAAACCCACAGTTATACTGTATAAGAGACAGATATAATATCTGCTTTGTCCCTTGCAGGCACTTATTTTCCAACCAGCAGAGACTTGAAGTTTAAAGCAAGTGTTGTACGCTACGGATAATATCACAAGCTTTTGCAAAGGCAAATGCACGATTTATTATAATATGACTAAAACATAAACCCTGTTTTCTTGCTTTAACCTCTAATTGCGTTATGCTGCTCCTCTCATCATTTCAGAATCAGAATCAGAATAAGCTTTATTGCCATTGCACAAAGTACAGCGTGATTATATTCATTACAGTCGTCCGAAAGATGGGCGGAGTTAGGAACACAACCCCTTATTCTTTAGCTAAGACTATGAGGATAGTGGGTATTAAAAAAAAGATTTCTTCACACCTTGTCCTTGTCAGTACACGATTTAAGACATCAAAAATCTCTACCAGCAAGCACATTTATAGACACATTACATTTGAGGACAAGACGGTGAGATTTGTTTATGAAACACTTCCAGATAGCACCATAGTCCTGATAAAATGTTAAAGTGTCAACCGGTACATCTCTGATAAGCGTTCACAGAAGTTCTCGGGGGTGGTGAATAGGTTTACACATCCCTAGGAGCAATTTGACAAGTTGGCCTATTCAAGGCCCAACGGGGAGGCCAGATTCAGATAGGCCGCAGGTGTTTGTGTGCAGGCAGGCTGTTTTTCTCATCAGCCTTGAATTCTGCTGGTACTCTCGATGATCCAAAATGGCCAGATTTGTGGGCTTTCCTCTGGTCCGTGCCTATTAGCCTTCTCCAAGATCGATTCCAACATGCTGGCGAGTTCCAGAAGCCGCAAGTGGCCTACGATTCTCATAAATCGCTTCCATCTTATGGTTGAGCTCGTAAATCATCTGAGTCTGAGAGCTCGAAGAATGAATTAATCCTTCACATAAGGTAGGCAGCTTTGCCATGGCCGAAACTGCTGCCGACGTCTACCTTTTATAGCCGATAACATACGTATCCGTTGGTGCCTAAAAGCAGAAACCCTGGTATCGTAAAACCAATGATGCGTTAATCTTTGACATCCTCCAGAGCCAACACAGACACATCAGCTTCCACTCCCCCCAGGAATCCATCATATACCCAGCAAGATGGGGCAGGGCAGCCGACTCGAGACCCGACGGTCCTGAGTTCGATCCCTGGTCTTTGCACATTGCTCAAATTGCTCCTCGGGCGCTTTCATAGCTGCCCACTGCTCCACCCACTGCTTTTTGTACTATTAGTGCTTAGTGTACTTTTAGTTTAGTGAATGTAGTATATTCTTAGTTCATGACTCGGATCTTGCTAATTCATTCCACCTTTATTTAGACATGAATCACATTGAGCCTCGAAGACTCATTTACAAGTGAGATCTGTTTAGACAGACAAAAAGTAGTGAAACTGGACGCATGTAGGAATTGGAAGCAAAAAAAAATTCCTATTGAACTTTTTCTTCTTGGCTGAGAAGAAAAACTCTAATATTAACAAAAACACCTCACACATACAAGCACATAGTGACGTAGACATTCTGTGGGGGGGTGGGGGGATGAGAGCGGTGAGCAATGTCCAAGGATGCACTTAAGGGCGCTGTAAGAGTTCTGATAAGGATGGAATAATCAACCAGTTCCCTCCGGTGAGATCCGTAAACATTCTCGAGGGATGCCGGGGAACGGCCAAGGACAACGCCTATGGGAATCCAAGAGTCCTGAAATGATGACACATTGTTTTTTCTTCACAATTTGTGTTTTTGTTGGATGTAACTGGGACCCTGTGTGTGTATAGTTTCGCCCCACCTCATGTATCACATGTGATGTGTATGACAAATAAATCTCGCTGATAATTTGACAGTTTGTTTTCAGCGTTCCGATCACACGCCAATGTGATCAACCTTTTGCTCTGAGTTACTGATATACATGAACTATACTGTGTAACATTTTCAATCACTGACACATTCATTTGCTTTTAAAGAGCATCTCTAAACCTTTCAGCATAACAAAGAAATCACATTTTTAAGCAATAGATTAACATACTGTCAAATGGAGCCATATAAAATCAATCATTTTGAACAAATTGTCCTAAAATTAAACTTTTTTGTGTGAAATAACTTCATTTTTCCATGTGCTTTCTAGCTTAACTGTTAAAACTGAATTTAATGCTTGTAAAGTACATGGAGAGTGTTTTACCACAAGTTTTTTGATTTTATAACCAAGTAAATGTTATTTAATAAACCAGTGATGGATGTTTTAACTGACAACTTATTTACTCAAATCAATACTTTTAAGAGAGTACTTTCTGGATCTCTGGACTCTTCAGGGCCTGGATTGTTCTGTTTCAACACACCTGATTTAAATTGGGTTGATTGTGTGGAAGCTGAGGCCAAATTTTGGAGATAATTAATCAACTGGAATCAGGTGTGTTGATCTGAAACGTGCTGGAGGTGAACCTGGAGGGCGGCAGTTTGGACCAAAGCTGCTGTAAGTAGACACATCCTGAGTTTATGGAAAATGTCTTGCTGTTTCTAAAAAGTCACACCTGCATAGATGCAGGTCCAGATGCAGTTCCTGCATCTAAGTTCAAGAACCGTTCAGTATAACGCACCATTATCAAGAGCTTTAATTTTGAGTAGATCATCTGCTGTTCAAGACTTTAGCCATTTTAGTTAAATCGTGGTAATTATGTAAGGTAGGAGCACATTTTAGCTCGGTATCTATAAAACTATTTGAGCTTAAAGCCATTTTTGTGTTTTAATATTGTTAGCTGTGGTGTCTGCAACTATGAAACTTAAAAAAAAAAGGCAATTGTATGATCATTTGCACTTCATGTCAGTAAATTTAATGATGTGTGTAGAGATTATTTAAATTTTTGTTGGGTTTTTAAAGACTTGAGGGATATAACCTCACAGAAGCCTTTTTGAGTTTAAGGTGCTGCCATAAACCAGTGAAGGGTCGGGATAGATTTGTCTCTGCATTAGTTAAATCACTGGCTTCGCTTTTATTGTAAATCATTTTTGACATTAAAAGCCAAATAAAGATTGTTAAAGTTTTTTTTACTGCCCCTCAGATCCACATTTTGCTCGTTTAGGCTCCACATTTCTTCTGCAAACCTGGAGAACCTGTTCCCTATATTTCTTTTTTTGAATTATATTCTTTAGCCTAAATTACAAAATATATTCCAAGTTTGTACTCCTTTACCCCCTTTTTTAAAATTTACTACAACTTTATTTAATCAATCCTCTCTCTCTTCAACCAAACAAGAAAAGACAAAAGTCCATCACAGAATATTTTATTCTTCTTTTTGTCACATTTCTCCATCTTAGCAAACATCCCAAAATTCTAAATCATGGGGGATTAACATTTTATAATTAACAAATCTTCGATCTCTATAACTGGTTTACTATAATTTATTGTAGAACTGTCACACTCTGAAGCAAAATCTAGTGGCTTATATACACATCTGTACAAAAGATGAAGAAAATAGTTTTGGTTATGTTTCAATGTTCATATGATGTTAGTGACGTAACAATTGCTTTAAAACAAATGCACTGCATTTATTGCATTCTTTGCAGGTTAATAACTCGTCCTGATGACTTCAGAGCAAGAGATGCAGGCTGGAGGCAGGCACGATGCACCAGAGGAAGATGGTGGTTTCTGTAAGAGGTAAACGATTGTTACACTCTGTAATCGTGAAGCCTTTATTACCAGTCATTAAAGAGAAAAACATCAACATTCACCAGTTTGTAAAGCTTTAAGCACGGTCCAACATGCTCTCCAGACGCTCGACTCTCCCAGACACGTCGGTTAGTTTGCTCAGTCAAGGAAGCTTGTTTAACAAATGTGGAGGAAACTATCCCCCCAGTGTTTGTACAACCTGTTAAACTACCAGCAGCTACAATAAGCACATGTCTGCCTAGTCACGTGTGCAGCTGAGGCCGTCCCTAACAAAAATGTCTCCCATCTGAAACAACAGGAAGGATATGCTTGGCTGTGAGCTGCTGGATGGCTGCCTGTGTCTTCCTCTGGAAAGCCAGCTGGGCCTCACATTTACAGGGATCCTCCACCACCTCCACCCTCACCTCTTCACCTGCAAAGAGCACATTTCACATCGGCATAACGGGAAGAATAAACACCCACAATGAATGCCACCCACACTGCTTTTCCAAACCAAAGCTTAAAGAAACTGAAGCAACAGGTTAAGAAGTACAAACTGAAAATAAAAATTGGATTTTAGCCACAACACATAACCTGATATCACCCAGTTATTATCCAGCAAATGTGAATTAATGTTAAGGTTGTTGATCCTGTGAAGCCATATTCAAGGTTAACTTGATGTTTTTACTTTAAAAACACTTGCAGCTGCAGGAATCCACAGAGCGTTCTTACGTTTTGGAGAGCAAGTTTTCTTGTCCGCGTTCAACGTGTAACCACTCCGGCACTTGCAGTAAAAAGAGGCGTTGCTGTTGACACAAATGTGCTCACAGTTGTGTCCCATGGCGCAGGGGTCCAGACCTGGAACAAGTTGAAATTAAAACAGCAGGTTTTTTTTTTTTTTTTTTTTAAAGCTAGGCTTCATGGAGTTGGAAGCAGTCAGTATCTTACCTGCAGTAGACAGCAGTCAGCCTGATTCC